GTGATAATTAGGATAACTGTGATACTTTAATTGAGCTGCTAATTCCAAGGCAGAGGTGTTGCATAGAAGACCTGTGGGTAGCAGCTTTTCTCTCAGTCCTTTGCTGAGCAGGAAGGACTGCGGTGCTGAGTGCGTGGGCAGTGTGCCACAGGACTCACCGGAGGTGCTCTGCTGCAGTGGATCCTTATCTCTCCCTTCTAGCTTCCCCCTCCCAAAGACAGCCTCTCCTGCTGTCAGTTCTCTCTGTGTTTGACTGTACTTCTCATAACAGCAATCTCCACACTGCTCCTCTCTTCCCTTCCCTTACCTTGAGGGCTCATTTCTAAAATTTTGGACCTCGCAGGCTTTGATGCAGTGCTTGTGCCTTTCCACTCAAACAATTAGTCTTGTGAACTGCTGTGCTTAAAAACCTACATACATGCTTTAAACCTCTGCTTTTTAAGTGTGAGGAAGAAAAAGTAATGGATATCCTAGCTCTGGTGTAGTGAGGATAGCCTATATATTATTTATGTTTATGTTGATTTGGTTGCTATGTTTTTAAATATTGCCTTATGTTACTGGTATAGTAAGAAAAAGCTTTTTCTGTTATCAAATCCTTTTAGTATTTTCTTCTCAAAATTTAATAAAAATCAGAATTTATCATGTTGCATTTTCAGGTATTGAAAGTATCATCTCAGTGCAAAATATTGATATGGAACATACTGTTTAGATAACTGACCTTCAACAGCAAATCAGATGCAGTTTTAAATTTGAGTTACGTGAATTTAAACTTTTGGAAAGCTTTTGCAAAGTACAATAAATTAACTCTTTTGGTTTTGATTCTACTGTAGTGGTTTTGTGATAAATATTTATTTGCAATATTAGCAAATCAAGCCATAGTAGTGATGTGCCTGTGTGTAAGCTTTGTCATGAAAACTGAAGTAAGGAGGACTCCAAGCTAGTAAGAAGTGTCAGATAAAAGCTATCTTTATTTAGAATGCATAAAACTTACCACAAATTATAGGTTCAGGATACCTCTTTATAGTTCTATGCTACTGTGTGATTTTTATTTTTAATTTGAAGTTCTAATAAAAGGACTTTATTCAAAAAATTGACCAACAAAATGGTTATATAATCCTTCCTTCTCAAACAGTTTCCTTTAAAATGCTTTGTGATAAAAGGAAAAATCTGCGACTGTGAGATATTCAGTGTTTCAGAGTCAAAGAAATGTTAGCTAGTGATTTTTCACTTTCTGGAAAGATCTGGTAAAGAGCTTTCTGCTAGAGCAATTTTCTGTCAAAACATGGATTTGATAAAATGTAACATTTTGTAGGAAGATATTGATTTCTTTTATGCTTTCAAGAGAAAGCTATAGAAATATTTTATTTATGGTTGAAACAAGAGTAAAAAGAAGAAAACCATAAGTCAAAACTGAACATCTGACTTTGTCAAAATATCATAGCCAGTGGTTTCAGAGGCCCTAAAATAAAAACTTCAGAATTTGTGGGGATTTTTTACAAAAAGTGCTGTCATCCTATTTCTATTAGAAGGGGAAATTCAGAGTATCTGTTTTTACTTCCTAGTTCAGCATGATTTTCTTACTTTTTTTCTCCCTGACTTTTTACATGCTTTGGTTACTGAAACTGTTTTCATGAAGAATGCCAGACCAGGAATCTCCAGAGCCTTCTGCATTTGATACAAAGCTCTTGGACCTCTGCTGATGTGAAGAATGACTCGATGCTTCCTCGTAGAACCCAATTAGGGGATTTAATCAAAGGCTCTGTAGGAGTGCAGTGTGAGTTCTGGGCATCCTTGAAAATCTTAGCTGAATTTCTAATCAGGAGCGCTGACTGCTCTGAATTCTGCAGCGAGTGTTGCTCCATCCTAACCACAACAGAAGGGTTGCTTCACATCCATGGAGCAGCCTGTGCTGTTACTGTGGTCACAGCCAGCCTGGCCTAGGCTGCCACTGGGACACAGGACCAAGCAATTGTCCCTTCTGGAATTCTGCCTCTCTCCCTAAACATGCCCTTCTTGGTGTCCCATAGGCTACAGATCTGATCTGAGATCAGATGAGTGGAAATCACTGATTTTTTATTCCCAGGGTCCAGATGCATTATGCTTTAAAAATGGTCTCTGTGTTGAATTGAGCTTTAAGAACATGGTCATATGACAGAGATTAAGGTTGTTAAGTATTTATTTATCAAGGATTTCTATTTTTAAAGAAGCTTACAACTCCATTATATATCTAAATATAAGAACTTGTAATGAATAGGCAGAGATTGAAAATTATGAAACAGGCAGAAGCTCTGGGTTCCAAATTATATTTCTGAGAAATGAGAATGTTTTATGAAATCTGAAGACATCTTCTTCCTGGAAATACTGTTTGTGAAAGAGCACAGAGCAGTCCTGACTTCTGTGAAAGTGGAACAAAACTTCTGATTCTACGTGGCCTTCCTCTGAGAGGGCAGTTTGAAATGGATTGCTAATGGCAAAAACTCTGCCCTAAACATCAGACTAAACTGCAATAAGTGATGTGTACATCTCTGCACAAAAATCTAAACACATTAAACCCAAAATTTATTGCATAATTTTTGTGCATCTAGAATATTTAAGGCTAATGTGCTAAGAATGACTGAAAGACTAAAATAATTTGGGAGTTAAAAAAATAAAATCTGTTGAAGCAATATAAGCTGAACTATTTTCTTTTGCTAATGTGACCTGACCTTGAAGGACAGTTATCTAGTTATCTGCTGCATGAAAATAATTTGCCTGCCTTTTGTTTGCAGATGATTCATTACTTTTGATAATCTTTAGTGGTATAACACATTAATAACAGTAAAATTAATAACTAATGATAGTGTGATCTCAGTTCTTCTGTTTGCAATTATCAGGGTCACTTAGTATGTCACAAGCCACATCAGTAGGCAGTCTCCCTCCTGATACTGGGTCTGGGCATGCAGGCTGATAAACTCCTCCTGCACTGCTGCATCTCTGCTTCTACTGCTTGTTCTTTGGTCCTCTCAGAACTGCAGGACCAGCAGTAACCCAGCTCAGGGGACAGAATTGTGTTTGAAAATACTTGGATTTTTCTACTTGGTTCTCTTCTCTTGGCCTTTTTTTGTAGCTATGGGTCCCAAAACCCAGAAGGGTTTCAGGAATAGCTGCAGGCAGCAGGTGGGAAAGGCACTGTGATGGAGGCTGTGTATGCCTGCAGTGCTGTTGGCAGAAAGAGTGATGGGAGTGCAGAGAAAGTCAGCCAGGTAAAGAGCCTTTAAAAACCAAAACCCCCAAACTGTTAAGTATTCTGACTGTGACACAGATGTGTATTATTTCAAAGGTAGAAGTTTATTACCTCCCTTTAAAAGTTCCATTTGGTTGTTCCTAAGATCATGGCATTTAACTGTCTCTCTTCATCTTAGCGAAATAATAAAGCTTTTATAAACCTTTGTTGGAATTAATATCTATCTTGTCAGGAAAGCAGACCTATTTTATCCAGTGTCATAGAAACTGATGACAGAATGAATTTAGACCATAACACAGTGGGAGTATTCTAAAGACAAATGCCTTAGTAAGACATTTATATTCTAAAAGCAATTTGTATGTATTATGTTTTATATTATTCAAGGTCCTTGAAAATAACACATATTTTATCGTCAACAAATTAGTGTAGTGTATACCTATGGAAATGAATGGTACAATAGCACAAGTCTAGAAACAGCTCAGACAGACTGGTACTGATGTATGTCCCTATGCAGGATGGCCAAGAAAGAAGAAGTGCATTGAACCTGGTATTTTCTCAGGTTCAAGGCTCCAGAGAAGTCAATAAACTTGTGAGAGAGCACATTATCTACCTCTACAGGGTAATTGACGAAATTAACATGTGCCAGACATAGAAGATCATGGCTTTTAAATGAGTAATCATATGGGACAGCACTTTGTGACAGTGTTGGTGGTGTTAATTCAGGCTCTGCCATTATATGATATTTGACACAGATCAAATCACAGCCTCCTTGCCTTGATTTCACCACACAGCAATTAGATTACTGATTAACTTTATCTTTATTAATCCAGAGGTTTACCAGAAGTGCGTGCTTCTGAGGAATAAAACTTACATCCTGAAAGTATACTTAAAAAGAAACTCTGGTGGTAACAAAAAATGTAAAAATAAAAATTAGCTATTTGTGAGACATGCAGTTTTATTTCAAGATTGTTCTTCAGAGCAGTCCAAGGATGTCAGTAGAAAAAAAAAGGGGGAAAAAAAAAGTACTTGTATTTGGAAAGGCCTTGGAGTGCTGTGGAATGAGAATTGCCCACAATTGCTTCACTTGGGGAGGGCTGGTAAGAATCCAGTATCTAAATAATGATTAAGACACGCCTGATGAAAATTAAGAGGCATTCAGCTCCGCGTCATTCCCATCGGGGTGCCTGTAAGCATCTCCGGCCGAGGTACCTTTGTTGGGCTGGGGCACTGCCAGACCTGCCTGCCTCCGGGTCCGTCTTTATTTCCAAGTGACAGGCCGGGGGACGTGTGACTCGGGACAGGGGCAGAGCACTCGCAGCTCCGGTGCTGCTCTCTCGAGCTCGTCCCAAGCGCTGCCGCCCGTCTTGTCCCGAGCCCCGTTGCCACCGGCGCTCGCGGGGCAGTTTCGGGAGCGGGCGCTGCCCCGAAGGGCGCATCTCCCCGCGGGGCACGACCCTGCCCGGCGATCCGGACTCCGTCTGAGCTTCCCCCAGGGCCAGGCTCCCGGCCCGGCCGCGGCACGGAGCCCGCGACTGGTCCGGTTTCCGTGCCCGCCCCGGGGCGCCCTCACAGCGCGCCCCCCGCTCCCGCCCGGCCTCGGAGCGGGCCGGCCCCGCCCCTCGGGGAGCGGGGCGCGCGCACGGCCCGCTCTGCCGCGCCATTGGCTGGCGTGACCGCGCTGCGCGCTCCGGTTGGCTGCGGCCGCCGCCAGGCAGCGGCGGGGCCGGGCGGGGTCCGCCCGCCGCTGCCGCTCCCGGCGGGAGGGTGAGTTTGAGTCGCGGCCGCGGCGGAGCCGCCGGGCGGGAGGGTGAGTTCGCTTCCCGGTCGCCCCCGCGGGGACAACTTTTTTTCCCGCGCGGGGCTGGCGCATCCCGACGGGGCGGCCGCGGCCGTCGGGCAACTCGCGGCCGCCCGAGCGGAGCCCCCCCAGGCTGCGGGTCCCGTGCCCCACCCTGGGGCAGCCGGCGGCGCGCGGCTGGGGCGGCCGTGTCTCGCCGGGGGGTGAAGGGCGCGGGGAGGAGGCCGGGAGGGGGCGGCGGAGTTGCCGGGGGCAGGGCCGGTGCCCGGGGGCGACGGACGGGCAGGGCGGCACCCTGCCCCCGGTGCGGGGCTGCGGGGCGGCGCTCCGGGCACCGGCTGCGGCTTCCTCCGGTCCCGCGGGTCCTACCGGCGCCCCGCCGGCATCCCGGCCGCGTCTGGCCGCCCGCTCGCCGCGCACCGCCCGCACCCGGTCCGGCCGCGGCGGGGCACGGCGGGCATCGCCTGGGCGTCTGGGGGCCGGCGGGGCAGCGGCGCCTGGTGCCGCCGGGAGAAGGCGGCGGGGGCTGCGGGAGAGACAAAGGAGCTGCTCCCGCCGCGTCCCCGGAGCGGGGCGGGCAGCGCGGTGCCTGGCAGCGGGCTCGGTGCCGCCGCGGACCCTCGGGGGGAGGCTGGGGCAGAGTTGGGCGGCGTGCTGAGGAACAGCTCCGTGCTGCGGACCCGTCCCGGGCTGCGTTCGGCGGTGCCGCCGCGGGGATGCGGGAGGCGGCAGCAACAGTTCGAGCCGCGGAGTTGGGAACCCGGGCGGGCAGCGCCGCGGCTGCAGGGCTGGTGCCTCCGCGGGCTTCGTGCTTCCATTGGAGCACGTCCGATTGAAGTGGCCTTCCGTGTGCTTGGTGTGTCAGAGGTAAGGATGGAAGCAGAGATAGTGCCCCTGGATTTGTCTTGTCCCATGTAATCCCGACAGCCATCACGTTTGTTTCCCGTCCAATTGAATTCTAGCTCCCTGCCGAAAAAGCTCCCCAGCCTTAGGTTCGCAAGGAGCGGATTTGTGTACTTGAAGATTATCAAGTCCTGCTGGGATGGACCTTTCAGGAGTTTTAACATGCACTGCCAGTGTGTGAGGAAATGACTGTAGATGAGCCAAATATTAAAACTTCTACTACAGGGTTGGTGTTAGGTCCTTAGCTGCAAATTCAGATTTAGTGGCATTTTTTTAAGGCAAGCTGAGCAAATTGCACTGCAGAGAGGCAAGAAGCAGTGTTATGGAGCAAAGCATAGAGTGACATTGGTGACTGCATTTTGTGGTATCTGAAAGGCCTCTCTGCAGTTTTCCCCTCCAGTGATGGACTTACATGCTACAGTGGTTTTTCAGAAGTTTGTGCTTTCCACAATATCATTGAAATGTTGGGGTTAGAAGGGACCTTAAAGATCATATAGTTTCATGCCTCTAATGGCGTCTTGCTTTTGTTCTCTCCACCTTTCAGCAAGTTCTTTTATGTTGCAAAAACTAAGTAATGTTGTATAATGTGGTCAAATTAATTTACAATCTGTTGTAGTTTCATCAGTGAAATAGTTTTGGTAAAAGTAGTATACTTTGAAGTTGAATTTTAGATCCTTCTGGCAGTGTTTTTGGATGTATTGTTTTCCTCCAGAGTTGGAAAAAAGTATAAACCCACTAATTCTGAAATACAAAACCTGTCTGCTTCTCTTCTGTGATAATCTCTTTGTGAGGCAAGGCACTTGTAATAGGGCTTTTATCAGAGGGATGATAATTTTGAGGAAGTTCAGTACTACTTGGGATGATTTATTAACTGTAACAATTCACTTCCTTGCAGCAGTGAGCTGTTTTAAAGGGACATGTCATGTTTAATCAGAAAGCTTCTTCCAAGGAAAAAGGCTGTCAGGGGCAGGATCACGTTGGAATTCTGCTGGGTGGGTTTGCTTTCACTTGAGAGAGGCCATGGGAGACGTGTTCCCAGGCATAGCTGGGTAGTTAAGTCACTTGGATTCTAATTTTGTGAGGACTTGTATCACAAGCATGTGTGTGAGATACTGTAGGGCTGGGCACTACAAGTGGTGTGTGTCATCTGTGTTTCACTTAGCACAGTGGGGCTGGCTCTAGGCTGGGAGACAAGCCTGTTTCCTGATGCATGTGACTGGGTCAAACCTAATAGTAAGTCACTGTGTTAAAGTCTCATTCATAGTACACATTCCTCTAAAACTCAATATCTTGAACCTTCCTCATGTTCATGTCAGGAAATTGATTTTTCATTAAAGCCTACCTTAAGGTACATATTAGGTTGGCGTCTTAACCTGTCACTGACTTTAATGCATGCAATGTTAAAATCACCTTGTTCATTCTGGAGGTTTAAATTATTAGTTATAAAGTGTTGGCTGATGTCTGGTTATTTTAATTAGAAAATAAATGGTCTGATGTGACACTGAGTCTTTTTCAGCTTGTATGGAGAATGCATGGTTTGCAGAATGATTTCTTAGAGAAAAGTCACAGTTCCCAGGTTTCCCTTTGGGACTAAGAGCTTGTGGAGTATCTGAGGCTTTAGGATGAAACTTTCATGAGGAATAAATGTTTATGTTGATGAGAATGTTAAAATGCAGTAGCTCTTGGGCTCTTAACAAAGATCACCTGTGCACTCAGCAAACATACAGAGCCTCCGTGGGGAAGAGCTTAGGCTTAAATCGGTTAGGTGAATTGCCAGGTCAGGTTTCATTGCCAGCCCTTCCCTTTGACAGATGTGCTCTCTGCATAACCCAGCACGCTTCCTCTCTCACAAATGGAAGGCTGGGTGCAAAGCTGACCTGTCCTTAGGTCTCCCATAGGGCTGTGTGGGCAGCTCTGTTAGCAGAAGTGGAAGTTACACCTGTGAATCACTGCACTCACGTGTGTTATGTCCAGTGTTAGCAAGCAGTCAGTCTTCCAAGAGCAAGGTGCATGAAATTCAGGCAGGAGATCTGATCTTGCTGTGTAGGAAATGAGCAGCCTGACAGTCTGACCTTCCCTGCATGCATACTCTGTTTTCTTTGAAGAGAACTAGAGACCAAATCTTGTACACTTCAGAAGAACTGAAGCCTGCCCATCTGTAATTATATTCTGAGGTTAAATAGTTTGACTGGAGTGACCCTGTCTAATCTCTGAGACTTCCATGGGATTATGGAACTACAGCATGCTTAAAACCTGCAGTTTATATGCAGTGTCTTTCACTGTGTTGGCTTGTACTTGGTAGGATGTAGTTGAGAGAGGTTGTTGATTTACTGGAATCTTCCCTGCTGAGGAGAATTATAGCTTTTGGTTTGTTAATGCTGTTCTGTTTAATTATGCAAGTATATATATGTAAAAAAGACCTCTTAAATTAGAATTTTAGGCCTGAGATCTTTTCTTTAAATCTGTGTTTTCTTTCTGTTCCAGGAAAAAAATCCCTTTTGGTATTTGCTGTACTCAGTTGCTAGAATTGAAATGGTGACGTATGAAATGCACATTTGGAAGTGGAGAATGTGTTGGAATTAAAGTATTTTTTATTAGCATCAGTTATTTAGAAACTTAAATTGGATTAGTTTACTTGAAATGCTTTGTGAGATAATCTTGGAAGGCAGCAACAAGGTGTCAGAATAAGGACAGAAATCTGTGTCAGTGTTGTTGAAGGCAAGGAGTACTAAAGTATGAAAATGTTTCTAATGTGTAGCAACTGCATATTACTGCTAGGCTGTGTTTAAAGCTGCTGCTCCAGCTCTGCATGCCATTAAAATGTTTATTCCTGCAATGGCCAGACTCTTTCCTCTATGATGTGTAAGTGTATGCCCACACCTTTTAGATGAAGTACTTCTGCATGAACTTGAGATTTTCTCTAAACTGACACTTGAATTACTTAAAGTTATTTGAAAACATTTAAAAAGTTTTGCACAAGGCTGACAGGTGAAATGCTTCTGCATTTGTTCTTTCTGGAAATCAGATTTCTATCAGAATTTGTGTTAGAACTTTTCTAGCATGAAAACTCAAGTACTCTTGTATTAGATAGAAAGAAAAAAATCCGAAACACCAAAACAAACATCTGAAAGATCTAATAAACTGTAATAGTTTTCAGCTGATAGCATTTCTAAATGGATATGAAGTATTTTCTTCTACTTGTGGTGAAACTGTTTTGAAGCCTTTGCCCTAATCAGGACCACGTTCAAGAGGAGCAGAATAAAAATAGCATCTTGGCCGAGTCTGTGAGGGCAGCTGTTATTTATGGCAATTTCTTTGGTCACATCCCCACATGAACTTGCATGCTTTGCTAACAACTGGAAAGACTGTGAGTGCAAGCAGTCCAACTTACAGCCAAGTGAGTCCTGAAATTGTCTGAATGTGACCCTGTTTTGTCTTGTAGTGCCAGAAAGGGGAGGATGTTGGTGTAGGTGTTCGTGTGATGAATTAAGGGTTCTAAGGCTTCAGTTTAACTTCTAAATGGTGTGCAAATGTAAAATAGATGGGTTCAATCAACTGCGGTTGTTGGTAGCATTATTTATTAGAACTGGAATCAATAAAGGACATGGAATTTGGACAGATATTTAATTATCATCACTCTTGTATATGGAGAATGCCATGGAAAGTGTGGATGTGCATGAAATGTTTCTTAATTTATAAATAACTGGCAATGCTGAAGAATCATCTGAGTGTTGAGATTAAGACTTAGAAATGGGTTATCTCTTCCAAACAGATGTATGTTTTTGTTTTTCCATCTCTGACCTCTGATGATATGAAATGCTGTGTAGCAACTGAAGCATAGCAAAGAAATGTAGGTGAAAGTAATACTAGTAAAACATGCTTATTGCTGATGCAAAAGTTGCTAAGTGTCTGTATTCCATCCTGATTGGCACAAGAGCTCTCATTCTAAACTTTGTGACAAAAAAAGGTATACTTGGGGCACTTTTGACAGCTAATAAAGACAGCTTTCTTAGGCTATCTTATCTCATACCTTTACATTTTGTTACTTTTGTCTATTTGGATTCTAACCTTTATTTAAAAATAGCATAGCATGCTCTGAAGTTGCA